CCGAGTCTCAAACACTACCACTAAAGATATTTCAGGCAGATTTCTCAATATGATATCAACGGCACAAGTTCATCTGTTAAGAAGGAATGAAAGTCAGTAAACCAAGAAAGGATAGTTTTGACCATGAGTTTGATGCTTTCTTTTGTTAGGAATATTTTTGTAAGTATCTTGCTGGAATCAAAAGAGAGTTGTATATATTGTCATACTGTGATGGAGGCATCAGGGAATGGCCTTTGTCTTGTGGGTTAGGATGACACACTGCTGTCCTTATGCAAGTATTAGGCAGAGGAAAATATAGCATAACTTTAGTCTGAAATGTCTCTGTACATTGAAGTAAGTATACTGAAAACTGTAAGACAAGTTCTTGCTGAAATGAAGATTCTGACTTCTTGGACAAGGACGTTCTTACAGAGTTCTGTGATAAGCCTTCCCAGGACACACATGTGCATGCATGCATGTACACGTACATACAAACGTTTCAGGGTGCCATGTGTCCTAGCTGGCCCTAAGCTCTCCGTGTAGTCCAGGATGAGCTTGAATTTCTCATCCTCCTGCCTGAACCCCCCCCCCCCCCCCCCCGGGCCTCGCCCAGTTGCTGTGAGATAATATTAATAGACTGAGTGGGTTTGCAGCAAGTATGTGGAGAAGCTTGAGTCCAGGTCTGATCTGGAAGATTTGCTAATTTGATTATCTTTGTTTGGTTAATGAAATAATTAGTTATTGTGGATTGTTAATTTCTGATCATCATTGGGAGAAATATTTTGTCTTATTGATCAGGTTCATCAGGCAAAATTAATTTAGATTTTTCACATAGATATTTGAATTATTCTGGAATTCTCTGCTCTTATTTAGATTTAATTTTACATTTAACATTTCTGGCCGTGTAAATTTGTGGCCATGTAAATTTCTGGCCACAGTGTGCTATTTATATAGGGCGATAATAGCATTCAAAACTGTTGCTACTGCTTTCAAGGATTTCAATAAAAATTCACTAGGCAGAACCCCAAAAACATTTATTGAACTCTTATTGTGATGAATAAACTGTGCCATCTGTTAGCAGAGAGGAAGGGAACAGAGACTTATCATAGTTTCTGTACTCAAGCCTGTGTGTGTGTGTGTGGGGGGGGGGAGATACGTGTACTTGTGGGTGGATGCATGTGTACACGCAGGTATACACGCACATGTGTATGTGTGCATATAGAGGCCAACTGTTTCCTTGATCACACTCTGCCTTATGTTTGGAGACAAGGTGTCTCAGTAAATCTGGAGTTTACCAATGGGGTAGACTAGTTGGCTGGTAAGCTCCAGGGCTCCTCTTCTCTCTGCTTCCCCGGTGCCAGGGTTACAGATGGGTACACTGTGCCCAGATTTTTATGTGGGTGCCCAGCATCCAAACTCAGGTCCTGTGCTTGCATGCAGGCATGTTCCTGACTGAACCATCTTCCCAGCCACTGGACTATATATTTGCGAATTCATAAAGAATGTTCATAATTAATAAAAGATTTAAAGAAAGCCAACATGATCTCATTTTGTTTTATTCTCTGCTGCCTTTCTATAGGCTGAGAGAATATAGGCTATATTTCTATAGGCATATAGTAGATACTTTAGACATACTTGTTGAATAAATAGCCCAATGACCATGTACTATATATACAGAGTTACTGGAATCCAGTAGCAATTTGCCCATCAGCTGAGCAGGGCAAAGAAGGTTTCATGGAGTAATTTTGATTGGAAGGGGAAAGGTAGGGTTGTCTAGTGATAGGGAATGATCTTGAATCCTCTAAGGGTATTGGAATTCAACCACGGAACTGAGGCAATAGTGGCTGTTTGGGCAAGTTTTGGAAAGTCTTGAAATGTAAGCTTGTTTCCCTGCTAAGTAGAGACTGAAAGGGATATTTTATCTTATTTTTTTCATTAACAGATTAAATGTTTTTTGTCTGTTTGTTTTTGAGACAGGATCTCACCATGTAGCCCTGGCTGGCCTGGAGCTTGATCTGTCTGTAGATCAGGCTGGCCTCAAATTCACTGAGATCCTCCTGACTCTGCCTCCTAAGCACTGTGATTAGAGTTGTGTGCCATCACTCCCAGTCTGAAAGGGACATTTTAGAAAAGTTAATCTACAGGCATTTAGTCAGGTGCCTTGTAGGCAGGAGAAATTGTGAAGCACATATTGACAGTGTTCTGCAATTACGTGTGCTGATTAGGGGCAGGAACGTGTCAAAGATAAGCACGTTTTCAGTTTGATTGACTTGGATAATAGTAAAAGCATGAACAAAAATAGAACAGCCAGGAGGGAAATTAATATTTTCTGGGAAGGCTTTTATATTTCAAATTTCTCTCTTTAGGAAAGGTGTTGAGGCAGGGTCTTCCTCTGTGAACCATACTAGCCTGAATATGAGAATACAAGTCTGTATCACAAACCCAGGGTATTTCAAATGTCTTAACATTTAAAGTCATAGAGACATTGACAGAAACAACAAGGTACACAATATTAGACCTGAGAGGGATTTTGGAGAATGGGTTATTAATTAATTAAATCCAATCTTATTATCTTACCAGTGAGAAAGATGACTAGAGTTCTGGAGCTGTCCATAAAAATACAGTCCCTGGCCTGGATGTGGCACCTAGGTCAGAGATTTAGAAAGTCATTTCCAGAGCTTTGAAAGTCACTTAGATAGCATCTGGTTTTCTCTTTTAAATTTGAAGAGCTGTTGTACAAATAGTTGCATGTAATGCATGTGGAAATATCACCTACAGGGTAAATATTGTGCTATAAGATTGAAAGCAAATATTTTAACTATGAGGCAACATTCCCATGCATTCTTATTAGTAAAATCTGAACTTTGCCTAAAGCTATATTAGTAATGATGTTTTCTTTTCAGAATATCATGATGTATCTGGTTAGTAGATTCTTTGTAATTATCTCCAAGTCATAGCTTACTCAATTCTGAACATGTTTTGAACTGCACGTGTGCTTAGACTTCTGATCTTCGGCACCATCTTGCCACATTTGAGGGCAAAGCAGTTGCTAAGGCATCTCTCTAGGTTGGTCATAACCCATCCTCACTTTCATTGGTGATATCTGTCCCTAGGCAGGTTGGGTGTGGTTATCAGCAGAATTGGTCCTGCATGTGTGGTGTAGACAAATAACTGGGCTCTGAAGGCAGTATGGGACCAGCAATTACCTCTGGCACATCTTTTGTGCTCCAAGCCCTGTTATAGATGAGGATAGAAAACAGTATCTCTCTTCCTGCTTACACTCACTGTTTTCCTCCTGTCCCAGACCCGAACATGCAGATGTAGCACTGGCTTTGTCATCATGAGCCCTTGGGTGATTGTCCCACAATGAGCTCATCTTACTGTGTGCAGTGTGATGGCTTCTTCAGCACCATCCATCTGATTTCCAACCTACATCATTGGAGGGAGGGAGTGTGCTGAGTGGACTTAGTGGAAGATGCCCTTTACTTTTCCCCAATTTGGAGAGTGGCAGGGTGGGATGTATAGCATGAGAACATGGGAGAAGTAGCTCTTTTTCAAAAGAGTAATGTGAATACTTTACATACACCTGGATCATCACCAGCAGGAGAGCAGAAGGATCATAAAACAGTCACATCTAGGAAGTTACCATCAGGAGATTTTTAAACACAGAACGCTGGCCTTGCAGTCCTGTTTTAAACTGCTGCTGCTGGCATTGGTTACTGCATTTGCCTTGATGTGAGTGCTGGAGAAAACCGGTATCTATGCCAAGCATCTTAAAATGAATGATCACAAGTCATGAGATGACAAGGGACTCTTGATTCCCTGGTAATTAGCATTGGAGAGGGAACAGCAGATCAGATCTCCTTGGTGAATTCATGTGCCTGGGACCTCAGGTGGTAGGCACAAGCAGTAGAGGAACACAAAAGCCCTATGGAAATGGGTAGGCCACAGCATTTCGGGCCAGGGCATGTCTAATGGACTGTCTTCAGCAACAGACAGGCTCATGCTTGGACAAATGTCATAAGAAAAGGCAACCCACTCTCGTTGGATTTATAGATCCCATTTGGCAGAGTGAAGGACACTTGCTCTTTTAACTAGCTGAACTAGCTGGGCCTGGTGGCCTCGTTGCTATGGCAATATGAGCTCAGTGACCTCTCTTCTCTTGTGGAATGTAGGTGAGAAGGACCGAGGGGAGCCTGAGGATGCTGAACTGGTCAGGCTCAGTAAGAGGCTGGTGGAGAACGCCGTGCTCAAGGCTGTCCAGCAGTATTTGGAAGAAACGCAGAACAAAAAGCAGCCGGGGGAGGGGAACTCCAGCAAAGCTGAAGAGGCCAATCAGAATGGCAAAGGCAGTGATAACAACAGGAAGTGAGAGTGGAGCCTATTCCAGCTGCTCTGTGAAAAGCATCCCGGCCCCTCTGCGAAGTCGCAGCCTGACTTGCAATGTGCTATTTAAGGGTCTTGTTCGAGCCCCGGAGATCGCCTACCACATCGATGATTGATGTGTCGGCGTGGCTGCGACACAACAGAAGAGAGTGGGGTGCTGGGGCCAGCAGAAGAAATTAGTCTACAGAAGAACAGTCCCGAGTTCATGTACCATCAAGCATGCACAAGGGCGAGGGGGCACCTCCGGAAGGCACGCGGGCCGAGGGACTGGACTCGCCGCCGAAGGAATACTGCCGTTTACATTGCTTAGAGCATCTGACTACTTTATCTGAGGCCAAAACTTGCACACAGCTATCAAGTACTGAGTTCAGTTTGTCACTGTTGAAATGATCATGTGTGTAGTGAGTCCACAATGTTTCACATTTGTCCCCACTGTACTCTTACCATAATCTTTATTTGCAGTAAATTAAGTTTCATGTAAATTATATATTTTTGGCAAAACGCAATCTTTTCTATGAAATGTGGGTAACATTTTAAAGGTTTTTCAGCCTTATTTTGATAAGTCAGTGTGCCATATTTGATGTATTTCATTGATATTTGAACTTTAAATGTATTATATAATTTTTTCCCCTTAGGCAAGAAACCAGTTGGGATCCAAGACTTAATTAATGAAGCTTTGCACCGAGAAAGGATGGAGCTGAAGTCCAAAGTGAAACAGATAAAGGAACTTTTGCTAAAGCCTGAGACTCAGGCCATGATTAGGAAGGAGCTTTTCGAAGGAAGAGTTCTTAATGATGGTAATCACACGATGATGCTGACTTCAGTGTGACTTTGCTGTAGCTCTTCACTGCTTATGATGGTAAAAACCTTATGAACTCTCAGTCCAGCACATAGCCCTTTGGTAAATAACCAAAGTGTTCTTACAGTTTCTACAAAGCCCACAAACCAACATTTGGTAAGGAATCAACAACTTCTTGCCAAAGAAAACATATTTTTGCCTTATCATCATCATCAGCTAAAGTTGAGTTTTAGAATGTTTGTTTGGGTGTTGACTCATTTTATAGATATAACTTCTTAGTTAGCTGTTGTGAGATGTTCCATGGGTCCTTGCAGATAAAAAACAAAAAGCAAAGAACGTTGATTATGAAAAATCCTTTGTAGACAAAAATACAACAAGACAAAACCAACAACAGTATTCTAAGGGCCGCCTGCCTCCTGTTGATATGACCCTTTCTTACTAGCATTGGCCAGGCTCGTCCAGTCTCACGTTATGTTACATTTGATGAGAATTTGAATGCTTATTGAGTATCCGTACTTGAATGAACACTTATAAATGTAATCATTGCAGTCACTGGTTAAGAATGTTTATGATATCCACATGTATTATTTTTCACTGATGAAAATGTAGTTTGCTTTTTCATTTTTTAGGGAACAAATGTTCAGTGTTTTTATTTTCTGCTTTTCTGAAGATGAGCCCCAAGCTGCACTGTGTTCTTCCCCATTTGTATAGTTTGCACTGGTTCACTTTTGTATTTTTTGGTTGTGAGCCTAACCTTTAACGGCTGAGCCATCTCTCCAGCCCCTGGTTCATTTTTAAAAGAGCATACTTAAAATGTTTCTCCCCATGTGATGTTTATTTGTAACAGCTTTTTCAATAGTCATTTAAAAGTTGCTGCTACTAATAGATGTTGGGGGAAGGAAATGATTAGAGATCAAATGTGTAGTCGTCTCACTTATACAATCCAGTTTGCTCGTGGATTTTGGCTGTTTTTCACTGGGTAAATGATACTACATTAATTCATATTGTAATACTTTTATGAGTTCCTACATTTCCATGCCTCTTAATAAATGTACTGTTTCCCCTGCTGCTTTTCCTTTTCTTTCTTCTGGAAACCACTGGGTGCTTGTTGGTGTCCCAAAGTCACGAGCGGGGTCTCTGTGGTTTCATTGTTTCCTGTCTTTGTGCTAGGGAAGCACGCGATCACATCATCGTCCACTCCCACTGTTTCATGGTCTCACATTAGTCAACTTCATACACAAGTAACAGCAGAACAGAAAATTCAAAGACAACCTAAAGTGAGGTCTTCGAAATAACTAACCCTGTGTCACTAGTCTCTTCATCACAATGATGAGAGAACAAGTTCATCTAGATTACAGATCTGCTAACTACTGGCTATGAACCCCTCCAAGAAGCCAGCCATGAACCCCTTCTGAAGGGCTGGCCATGAGCCCTCTCCCTCCAGCAGCTGGCTGTGACCCCGCCAGCAGTGGGCCATGAAATCCCCACACAGCGGCTGGCCATGAACCCCTTCTGAGGGTCTGACTATGAATCACCTCTTGGTGGCTAGCCATAACTCCTTTGTGAGCTGCCTACTGGGAACCCTCACTGAGCAATGGAGGTCATTACAGATTTCCTTGAGTAACACTAAAGGAAGGAAGCAAAGATGCTTAGGCCTTTCCTTGTTTTTCTAATGAGGACAAGGAGTCAGAGGTTGGGCTCCCTAGCCAAAGCCACAAGGATGTTAGGAATTTGGAACTGAGCCCGCAACCCGGTGGCCCCAGTGTTCCATTGCTGCTTTGGTGAAATTCCACAATCCATAGGAACAAGTTCAGATTGTTATTTCTTAGCATCATCTATATCTTCTCCTCAAGGAGCTTTTTCCAATCTGAGTAGCTTGAAAGAAAAGTATTTTTTTCAACCCCAATTCCATGTCTTTCTGTTAACTTTAGTTGTCCGTCAATTTCCATTGTTAAATACCCTTGAAGACCTGGGCTATGTGCCAATGATTTGGGCACATGGTTAAATTCCTTCCATTAAGTGGTCCTAGTAGGAAGTAATTAGTACTTTGTAGATTAGGAAAACTGGAGACCTATTGCTGAAATGGCCCAAGGACATAATACGAACAAAAGGTAGGGCTAAATTGAATTTAAATCTACTTCAAAGGTGACACTTTTTTACAATGGGGCTTTCCCTCCCTTTACCAAATACAATATTTCAAAAATTAAAGATGAGTAATAAAGTCCCTGAAACACACACACACACACTTCTCACTTTCTACAAGTATGAGGGTGGTCAGCTAATACAATAGAAAACATCTAGATATTTAATCCCTTGTCCATGGAATCTCCCTGTTAACCTGTTCACAAAAACACTGGACCAGGAAGCACCTGTTGCCTCTCAACTTGACTTAACAGTGGCAGGTGTTCTTGATCTAGCTTGTTCACTTTCAGAACCTCAGGTCCCAGGCCAGGTGGTTTCAAGGAGCCCTAGGGCAGTTTTCTTTGGGACTTGCCTTGATGCTGGGCTGGGTCACATCATTCTACCTTGTGACGCTGGGTGCTTGACTTTCTGGAGGACATCCCCTTCTATTTTATGTGTTGGTTGTCAGTTTCATGAAGGGAACTCCATGAAGGGAAATATTCTCATTTAGAACCACATTCCAATGTTTTCAGAGTCAGCCACTAGAAAAATAGATCCCACGAGAGTAAAAATATCAAAAAGCAATACTTTAAGCAGTAGGACAATGTTTTGTCAGTTTTGAACTTGGCCTCCCTTGTAAAATCTTAGATTCTATTAATCCTCTTTTCAGGGTAGACTAAACTGGAGGTTCTTTGTCCTTTGGATACACAGGTTGTTGTACTTAATATGGAATTTCTGGGATCAGAAGTATATCTGATTTTAGATTTTTTTTTTCAGATTTGGGAGATTTTAGGTATGGGTCCCATGTCTGAACAGGAACTTCATCTGTTTCATATAATATATTTTATATATCAGCCTTAAGGTCACTTTATGTAATTTGTAGTGTACCTGCATTTTCACTGCAGCTCATCCCAGGTGAAGAATTTTCCACATGTGATGTCTTGTGAACTTTCAAAACATTTTGAATTCTGGAACCTTTGTATTTTCTATTTCTGGCTTAGGAATGCTCTATCTGCAAAAGGTTCACATCTAGAATATAGTTAGAATTCAAATTATTCTCTGCAAAACCACACACGTGTCAGTTTCCAGACATCTCATGTTCTAATAAGGAGGTAATGACAGCAGTTTGACTTCATAGTCTACATGTCATTTCAGGCACACAACCAGGAAGACATGTTTGCTCTTCTGTACACCTAATCACAGATGCAGAAACCAGCCATCACCTTCTATAACAAATTAAGAGTTTCATACCTTTGTCAAAACCAACACAGATATAACATCTTTAGGTGTAAATTGGTGAATAGATAGCCTATTGTCAGCCATTGTTCTGAGCATTTTAGTTCCTTCCTTCCTTCCTTCCTTCCTTTTTTCCTTCCTTCCTTCCTTTCTTTCTTTCTTTCTTTCTTTCTTTCTTTCTTTCTTCCTTTCTTCTTTTCTTTCTGTTCTTTTTTTCTTCCTTTTTATTTTTTTTGAGATTTTTTTGCTTGTGAACCTAGCCTTTTAAACAGCTGAGCCATCTCTCCAGCCCAAATTTTTGAGAGTATAATTACATCATTTTATTCCCTTTCTTCCTTCCAAATCCTCTTATATTACCTTGTTTCCCTTATTATCTTTCAAATTCATGACCTCTTTTTCTTTCATTGTTATCACACATATATGTGAGATATCTCACATAACATATGTGTGTGTATGTATGTATGTCTGTTCAGTCTGTATAGTGTTACTTGTATTTACGTGTCTTCAGGGCTGACCACTTGGTATTGAATAACTAATTGAAATGCTCTTCCACAGGGAAGACTGTTTCTCCTGCTCTCGGTACTCCTCAGTTGTCTGTGTTTCTTTGTCTAAGGTTGAAGCTGCCTGAGTTTCCCGCCCTTCCATTTTAGCTGGTCTGCTGGTGTCATCCTTGTTTAGGTCATATTTAGGTGGCCATGTTGATGACATTTCATGGGTGTAGCTTCTGACATTCATAGGAGACACAAACTGGCAGCAAACTTCCAGTTCTTTTTTCTGTTCCTTCTTCTTCAATTATTCCAGAGCCTTAGATGTGGGAGTTGTGTTGTTGTAGATGTATCAGACAGAATTGGGCTCACAACCCTGCATTTTGATTGCTTGTGGTTTTCTTTGATGGTCTCTGTTAGTTTCTTTGATGAGGAGTGAGGACTATAGTTCTGGGTTGGTTTGAGGACAAATATTTAGAATCTATTCTCAGCATCTTGAACATCACAGATGCATCCAGGAATTCCAGCTTTTCCAGATAGATAAAAACAAAAATCTAAAAAACAAAAACAAAACAAGAAAACAAACCCAGAATACACTGAAAACATCCCCCAGTCCCTACATTTTTTTGATGGCTGTGCACACACTAAGAATATAAAAACCCTAGGTAGTTTCATTCACCGTTAAAATGAGGATTTGAGCAGTTACCTTGGAGTCAGTGAATTTAAAATTATGAAATAATCCACAGCCACCCTTCCCTGGATCACTGTTTCGGGGATAATGAGGCTCATTTAGAAGGTAATTTGAGAACTTCTGAAGGCAGGCACTATTATCTTCTTCAGTATAATACACTCTAAACCACTAATTTGTATTTATTTAAATGCAACTGATCAATTCAGGTGGTGGTTTTAAAATGGAAATAGTACTAACTATTCCTCTATAAATCTCATTGTTAGCCACATATTGGAAGAGCATGAAATTCTCTTGTAGCTTGTAAACCAGAGACTGAACAGCAGAACTGAGAAAGTCATTTGATGTTCCCTGGACACCTATACTGCTTTCCCTCTAATGATCCAAACCACTTTTTTGAAATGCTGCAATCATGTGATAATGCCCCCTATCCTTCTGTGTTACTTTCTTCCACTTATGCTGGATAAGTGGCAGAGTCCTTTTAGGGTTCTGGCCTGCTTAAGTAGTTATATGACTCACACCGCATTTGCTCTTTAATAAACTATGGTAGACTGGTATAGCAGTCCAATGTCTCCCTACAGTTCCTGCCCCAGCCCTCTTGGGCACAGTGTTTCCAGGGTGCCTTTGTACTAAAGGAAGCTGTCATTTCTTCACTGATTTTTCCCCTTGTATATATTTTATCTTACCTATAGCTTGAGAAAACATTTTTACATCTACTTATGTGAGATGTAAAAAGTTGTAGGAAATGAGAGGACAAAGAAACAAGAATCCTACAGCTCGGCAGAAATTACAAAAATGGCGCATATGCACCAGTGCCAATGTCTGCTATGGTAATGGAAGTTGAGAAAGGAGCATGCATATGCAACCGTGGGGACAGACTAAGTATATCCTTTTGAGACCCTGCAGGACAAATTTGGAAGCTGTTCTTACTGCCTTCAGGGAAAGGCTTGAAATGAGGGCTCTCGGTGACTTGGTGGACATTTGTCACAGTTTGTGACTGCTCGGCTCTTTGAAATACTTTGTCTATGTCTATTAAGCTCCTACCTGTAAGCCCTGCTTCCACAGAGGATAAGCCACAGGGAGAGTCCTGGAATTGAGCATCTCATTGGTGCACTGAGATTCACACATGGGACCTGGCCTCCACCAAGAAAGAGGGAGATCCCGAATTTAGTCTGCCCACTCTGGTGAAGACAGTGGCTCAAAGAAGCAGCAGTGGGGCTTGGAGCAAGGCTCAGTTGGTAAAGTTCCTGCCATGCAAGCTTGAGGACTTGAGTTCAGATCTCTAGGGCCCACATTAAACACTGGAGGCATTCATCTCCAATGCTGGGGTGGGTTGTAGAGATAAGTAGGTCTTTGCAGTTCACTGACTAGACAGTCTTACCAATCAGCAAGTCCCAGGTCCACGGGACCTCAAAATATGAGGTGGAGATTTATTGAGTAAGACATAAACAGACATCCTCATGCATATGCATACACATCCATTTGCCTCAGGATGTGCATGTGTTTGTGAACGCAAGAACGTGTGTTCTCATCACCCCCACATACACACATAGCTTGGGTAGGCTTGATAAACTAACAGTGACTAAATAGTGGCAAGGGTTTCTCAGAGTAGCTGGCAATGTAATGAGGCATTGCTCTTTCTCTTGGCTTCCCAGCCTGATTTTCTGTGTCTTTTAGGTAGTCTGCAGCTACTAAATTCTGGTTCTGCTTTAAACTGGCTAAGGCTGGGCTGGAGGGATGACTCAGCAGGTAAGATCACTTGTTGCTCTTGCAGAGAACCTGGTTTCAGTTTTCCGGAACCCGCATGATGCTTCACAACCGTCTCTAACTCCAATTCCAGGGATCCAGGGGATGCAACCCCATCTCCTGGCCTCTTTGGGCACTAGCCACATGTATTGTGCACATACTTACATGCAGACCAAACGCTCACACACATGAAATAAATGAATTAAAGAAGAAAAAGAAAACTGGCTAAAGCTGGTTTTAGCATTTGCAATTAAATATCCAAACTAACACAGCTTTCCATAAGCACTTCATCACAGGGTCTAGGGGGCATTTTGTATCTGATATTCTGTGTCTACATTATAGGAAGCCTCCATTCCTGTCCTGTAGGCACTAAATGCCAGCAACAGGCTCCAGGTATTATGACAATTAAATAGCACCATATATTTCCCAAATACTCTCAAATGAAGGTCACCCAAGCCCCAGTGGAGGACATACTATTAAATATTGCTCCCCTGGCAGCATAAGAGACATCTTTCTTCATTTCCGCCCTATCAAGAAGTAATTCTGCTTCCAAAAGCACAAGCTCACTAGAACTCTGTTCACATTACCTGGTACATGGATAGAAAGGGGAAATGAAACCACTTGCATATTTCGTGTGACAAAGACCAAAACACTTAAGTTATTGCACTTAAAAATGATAGGATAGATCAATTGTGATAATTCTTACAAAGTCATCATTACATAATTTCTTGGTTTACATGATTAGGAGAGCAGACTTAGACAACGAGAGAAGAAGGTAATCTTTGAATTCTAACACTGTATGGCCTGCTGAATATATTATCATTATGTAATTATAACAACAGGACTAACTTCTTGTTCAACTTCTTAAAAACACATAAAATATGTTATGTACCAAATGAAAAAAATCCATTTTTCCAATAATGATAGAGCTGTCTAAGAAATATGAGTATTTTAATATAAGAAAAATATTAATTTTCTCTGAGTGACAGAGTAGAAAGATTTTAGATAAAGAAATGAGAAAGAACTTTTCCTGTAGGCTTTACTTAAACTTGAAGGGTAGCTCCTGGATTAAATGACATCTGGCGATGCAGAGGTAAGGTAGGGGGAGGGCATCGTGTCATGCTGAGGACTTGAGAAGTTCCATGGAGCATTCAGATCAAAGGAATGGAACGGAACAAAGAGTCCGTGTGCATCACCTTGAGCACAGACTGTGGGTGATTTAGACTCTAAAAAGAGAAAATAGCAGTTTCCAATGCATTCAGAATGTCATACTTTAAAAAATCTGTATACTTTGTTTCTTACCATAATGGCTTATTTTAAGAAGCCAATGAATCTCTGACACCTACGTAAAGGAAACAATTTGAGTAGGGATGCTGGTCTTGAGACAGCTTGAATCCCTGTTCCCAGTTCTTCTCTCTAAATGCTCTTTTTCATGTGACTTCCATGGATGGCCTTTTCCATGTAATTTCATAGTAAGTCCTTCTGTCCCATTGAATAAATAATAATAATAAAGAAATCATAAATAATGCATTCTGATAGCTCTCACCCCGATACATGACAATTCCCCTCTTCCTACAAATCGCTTCCTCATGTGACTTACCTTGAACAATGGGATGTTAGTAGATGAGGAACAAGCCAAGGCTTAAACTATGGAGATACATGAGACAGACTGAACCAAACATATACCCTGGGAAAGCTCTATTGCATGAGGATGTGGCTAGCAGCCCTTCCCCTGAATGCATAGGATTGAAAAGAAAAAGGTGGTTCATTTGCTTTGCAGCGTTATTCTGGCAAAGACTAACTAGTGTGGGACCTGTAAATCAAACTGAAACACAAAAGCAAGCTTATGCATTAGAGAGAAGCCTGCAGTGTGGCATGACCATTTTCAAGTAACTAAATCTCTTCTGATGGATTGAGAGCCTATGCCACAAGGGGTGATCCATACCTGGTACTTTAAACTGTGTCCAAAAGCCATGGCTAGGGCTGGAGAGATGAATGGCTCAGTAGTGCAGAACACTTGTTCTTGCAGATGACCAGGAGATGATTCCCAGCCCCCACAGGGCAATTTACAACCATCCATAACTCCAGATTCAGAGTATCTGGTATTCTCTTTTGACTTCTCTGGGCACCAGGCATGCACATGCCTAACAGAAATATTTGCAAGCAAAATACTCATACACATAAAAATAAAAATATCTAAAAAGATTAAAGAAAAAAATCCCATGGTTGTGGAGGTTGTAGGCCCTAGTGGGGTACTTACTATTACTATTGAGCTAACATAGTGTCAGACTGCCTTCTAAATATCTGTGTGTACCCATAGACTGATGCTATTCTCACCCTTGATCGGGGAAGACTGAAGTGAAGGGCAGAGACTCACAGCTGCTAAGAACAAGTGATGCTTGAGGGCTCAGCCCTAAACAAGACTATTATATCACAGCTCTAAGGCTCAGGGAACATCATGGAAAAGGGAATGGAAAGAGTGTTAGAAGCAGGAGATACATGGAGATGCCCAGAATGCATTTCCAAACAGGAACACACAGCAGCTGTGATTTCCTGCACTGAACCTGCACAAGACTGGTCCTGGAGAGAGGATGCGATCACACACGGAAACCGGCCTCCCTCCTGCTGAATTATGAGCTATCTATATAGATTCTGGGAGAGGGGCAGTCCTTGTCACACCGATAGCCCTGGCTAAACTCAGTAGTCACAAAACAAGAAGGCATGACGGTGGGAAAGGGATTTGTAGGAGGAGGGAATTGTCATGTATTGGGGTGAAAGCTATCAGAATGCATTATTTATGAATGTATAAAATTATCAAAACAAAGTTAATTAATAAAAAAGAGATCTTTCTAGGGCAGTGGTTCTCAACCTTCCTACTGCTGTGTGACCCTTAAATACAGTTTCTCATGTTGTGGTGACCCCACAATAAAATTATTTTTGTTGCTGTTTCAAAACTAATTGTGCTACTGTTGTGAGTCGTAATGTAAATATATGCAGGATATCTGATATTCAGCCCCTGTGAAGGGGTCATTCAACCCCCAAAGGGGTCAAGACCCAAGGTTGAGAACCACTGCTCTAGGGCATTGGTAATTATTGAAGATAGTAAAGGTTCTTTGTTGTTAAACAAACAAAAAAATAATCTCAGAACATTCAGTGTGGACATACTGGCTATATTAATGAGATATTATATAATTTAATTGGACATTTTAAATTTTTAAGTAATATATTTTAACATGCTAAAACAAAATATTAGTAGCCATGATTTATCAGTGATGGTATTTATTTATTTATTTATTTATTATATATACAGTGTTCTGCCTACAAGTATGCCTGCTGGTCAGAAGAGGGCACCAGGTCTCATTATAGATGGTTGTGAGCCACCATGTGATTGCTGGAAATTGAACTCAGGACCTCTGGAAGAGCAGTCAGTGCTCTTAACCTCTGAGCCATCTCTCCATCCCCCAGTGATGGTATTAAAGGTGTGTTTACTTCTTAGTTTATATAATTGGGGTTTTTTGCAATGTAATACAAAGTATTATAATGAACCAAATAATAAATGCTTCTTAAAAAACCTGTAGCCATCTACTAGATAATTCATTTCATTTCAGACATAAATGTGTATTGTGTGAAGATTACATAGGTCTTCTCTTCATTCAATCATGCATTTATTGAACATTTTCTAGGGCCAGGTGTTGGCCTGGGTGCTTAGTATGCAAAAGAGCCATCTGTTGAGATAAGGCAATGAGTATTGATATAGGTGTATTTTTCCTTTCCCTGTAATCTTTTTGTTTCTCCATCCCTCATTTTATTTAGAATAATATCCTGTCTTCAGTGAGAGGCTGCAAACAGTATGAGATGGGAAATGAAGGAGGCTGATTTTTACAGATTTGACATGTGATCTCCCAGTGCCCCAATTATTAGTATTGACTATCCATGTGAATGCAATGGGATGCTGTCTGCTGCTGTGATCACAGAGGCTTCAGTGATTCTTGTACAGACTCTAGGTACCGGCTATCAGTGTGTATGGGAGACAGTCCCTTGCCCATATTTGCAGGAGCAGTGGGAGTGACACTCAACACAAGAAGGGCAACAGAACTTTGTGAAGACATGCATATCAAGCCGTACTTTATTCTTTGTCTTCAATACTGCAGAGAGTGCCTGCTGAGAACTACAAACCTGTAAAAGGGTTCACTTAAACCCTCTGCATGATGTGATTCGACCAAACTCTTCTATAGACTTCTAGAAGCCTAAGGCTGTGTCCCTATGATGGCATAGCCACTCTTTGGGTTCCTGTCTGGAGAAGGACAGATTGACTAAAGGAATGGCTGTTTGTTCCATCCAACAACTGACCATGGGCCATTGCCTTCTCTTAGTGGAGCAGTCACTAAAAAGAAATAAACAAATACTAAAGAACCTACAATGGCAATGCCTTCATTTACCCCTTTGTGTGTGTGCTCACACAACTCTGGAGGGTCTTCCTCGAGGATGTGGACGCATTCCTTTGAAATATAATCATCAGGAAGGGAGGGCATTTCTGTTTTCTCTTTGAGAGAGTAGCAATCTACATCCATGGATTTCCTTTAGCAGGACAGAGATGGCAGCCTACATGTTTTCTTTGAAAAATCCTCTTTCTTAAATAATGTTTTTTGCCAGACCTAGGATTGACTTGAGGATTCTGTGCTTACTGCCTAAGTGCTCTGTCACTTAACTATGTCCCAAGCCATCTTTTTACTTTTGGAGATAGTCTCTTACTAAATTGCCCTGACTAGTCTTGAACTCCCTTTGTAGCCTTGGCAGGCTTTAAATTTATGATTTTTTTACTTCAACCTCCTAAGTAGCTGAGATTACAGGTCTGCAACCACTGAGCCTGGCTACCTGGAAAATTGTAACCCTCTGGAACAAACTATAAACCAAAATAAGCACTTCATCTTTAAGTGGCTTTTTGTCAGGTATCTGGTCACAATGACAAAAAAAAAAAAAAAAAAAAAAAAAAAAAAAAAAAAAAAAACAACAACAACAAAAAAAAAAACCACTATAGCTATGTTCAGGGATGAGTACTTATGACATGACATGACAAGAGAAAGGAGCACAGGTTCATTTAATATGTTTCATGTCACTGATTCTGAGTGAGGAGTTGTGGTCCATCACTAATAGAAGAAACTGGTGCTATGTTAAGGGTGTTTGCAAAAAGAAGCAGGCTTAATGAAATTCTAAAGACAAGGAGACTCATGTCGCCTTTAAGTAGCCTTTCTGATTAGTTAATGAAAACTTCAAGGTCTCTGAGGATAGTGTTTCTGGTGTTTTGGCCTCAATTGAGTAGAGTTGCATTTTACTAATGTGAATTCAAGGTCAGGTCCCTGAACTCTTCATTTCAGCCCAAGTAACTTCTTGTCCTTAATCTATGGCTCTGTTGGTCTTGGGCATTTAATCCCACCCAGCTCTAGGTCATTCTTAGATCAAAGTGAAGGTATTTACCAGGAACTACTCTGGAAGACAGTTGGAAATGTGGGGATTTTAAAATACCATTAACTGCAGAGGGAGAGAGTAGCTACATGACGGTTTGGGTGTCCTAAAGAGGCAGGATACAGGGGTTCAGCTGAGGGGGAGAAGTCCAAAGTGCAGAGCTGGTTACTGTAAATGAGACGAAGCCAGCTGTGTTTGCTGGCTACAACGTATGAAAACTAGGATTCCCTCTTCCTAGAATTCTGGATACAGAGGCTTTGTTCTTTGGATGTTTATATTCTTGGGAACCACTCTTAGGGCCCCCAGAGACCATTCTGGGTTACAAAAGATAGTCTCACAGTTTGAAGTAAGCCTTTTTTAGTAATTGCCAACAGAAAGTGCTAGCCTGTTGAGGAAGGATTCGGTTTCACCAAACCCTTCAGTAATGACGAAACAGTGGAACTGAAGGACTTGCCTGTTTTTAATGCCAAGTTTGAAGAAGGGGATAGCTGTGGGGTCACTTGACTGGACAAAGGAACAAACTTTCTAGTGGTCCTAACTAGAGGAACACAGGCTTTGCATTCAGATTCCTCTCTGAGACTTCAGAGACTACAGCACTCCCTTCCTCTGACTGTGTGTCGCTAGGCATCTCTCAGATGAGGAACTTATGATCGTCATCTGAAGGCAGATCCAAGCCTCCAACTGTGGTTTGCCTCAGGGAACAGGAGTGGCAGAAGACCATGATGTCTTCCTGCTTTTTGTGTTTTGTGTTTTGTTTTTGTGAAATACCAGTATGTCTTGGCCTATGTCATCTGTTTATTCTTGCTTTAACTGACACCCACTTTGTGCTCATCTCAGCCCCCTCAGCTCAAGCTTGTCTTGGTGAAAGCTTCCTGCTAAGGGAGTGAAGAGTGGAGGAGGTATAGAGAAGATGACAGGGTTGAGAGGCCAGACTTCCTTCTCTACTCTATAACCTCAGCTGCGGTACCCCAAGTGTGGGTCAGGGAAGATACTGGGCACTGGATATCACTGGGTATTTAGCTATTGCAGGACAAGGCACCCTAAGGATGGAAAGGTGATGGTGACAACACGTGTTACAGAAGGTAACAGCAGGAACCAGTAACTCAAAGAGAAACCCCAAATCTAAGGGAGTACAAGAATTTCATCCTGGCACAGATTATTGACACTGAGTGACGTATAATAGGACAGAGAAACAAAACCAAAGCTGTATTTGGATAATATCTCAAGTCCTGTTTATTCAGCAAACTGGTCACAGCAAGATGGCTTGGCTGACTTGGACTCCGGTTGTCTCACTCAGAAGGGAGGGTAGAGAAAGCAGTGGAGAGTGGACTAGGGATTTGCACTGAGGCTGCCAAGCAGTGTCAGCAGCTATTTTCAGTGCCTCCTTGGGCTTGCCCTAGGCAGTTGCTTAGGAGTGTTCAGAGACCCTCTTGTTCTTTAAGTTTGGTAAATATGACAGTGAAGAGGTCTCTGCTTCATTTCTGTTGGAAGTGCTAAGTGTGGCCACTCAAGAAAAGAAGGGGCCTGTGCTTTTGTCCTGGAGGTCAGCTATATGAGTAAGAAAGGCAAGGGCAGTGCCAGGATGTGAAGAGGCAGAGGAGGGTCCATGAGTCCCTACCCTTGAGCTTGGTGAATTCCCTGAGGCCCAAGTGCCAATTTCTCATCCAATCTTAATCATCCTCAGACCACTCATCAGTCACTCACTAATATAGATGCTCCACCCTTATCTAGGGGCATATATATGTTCCATGGCCCTCAATGGACCCTTAAAGCGATGGCTGCTACACAATCTTGTATATGCATGTTCCCTTTATGGCCTATGGACAAATTTTTTTTTAAATTATACATAGCAAGAGACTAACAATACCTAACAAAATAGAATAACTATGCTAACACAAGTTATCTAACATTTATGAGTCATTCTCCCATTTAATATTTTCAAATGTGTGAGTTCCTGTGGGTAGCTGAAACTTGAGAGTAGGTTGACAACAAATGAAGCTGGAGTTTACCCCGGGATGCTGATGCTAGACGGTGAAACAGATGAAAACAACAAGGAAATAACTCACTCACAAAACCTGCTGAAGGAGATTGAGAGTTGGGGGCTTGGGGAAGTTGTGAGAAGCCAGAACACTCATATCCCTTAGGTAAGAATATAAATTGATGCCACATTTTGGTAGCACAATTTGGTGAAATCTATGGTGATGAATAAACTGGGAGTGTCAACCTCGAAATTAGTTCCACTTCACCTTTGTTCCACAATTATATTTGTATGATTCTATGGCATTGTAAGCACAAAAGTTGTTCATAGCGGTTAATGATGGCAACACTGGCAAAACTGGGAAGACCCAAATGTTTCCATAGGAAGTTAGTATCAGTCATACCTCTAAGAACACCAAAATGATCAGGCATCGTGGCTCATGTCTGTGTTCCTAGCCCTTGGCAGATGGAGGCAGTGAATCCAAGAGTTCAAGGCCATCTTCAGCTGCATGGCTAGTTTGAGGTAATTTGGGACTACATGAGACCCTGTCTTAAAAAATCCAAACCAAGGGTCTAAGAGATATAACTCAGCAGTTTAGATCACCTGTTCCTTTTAGAGAGGGCCTGTATTCATGACGGCTCACAAACACCCATTAGTTCCAGTTTTAGGGGATCGGATGTCCCCTTGTGACTACTGTGGGTAGTAGGTACATATTTGGTACACATACATGCATACAAGCAAAACATTCACATGAATAAATCTGAAAAAGAAAGCAATAGCAAAAACAAAGGCATAAGGTGGACAGTTATTTTGAAATACAAAGTTCAATAAATATGCTAAACAAGATGCACTATACAGGACAATATGAATAAAATGCTTCTATTCGTAAGCAATATTTCCAAAATGTGACTAAAACATTTATATGCAAAGAACATTCTGTAAGGATACCCCTCCCTCAATCATTGAATGTCTCTCATTTGGAAAGTGTGACTGAGAATCTGGAGGTTAGATGAGGTTCATTTTCCACAAGTGCATGCTGGGAATTAAACAAAGCCTCTAGAGGTATCTTTTTAGTCATAAATTTAAAAAATAGTGGCGCCAAAGCTAGAGAGATGAAGTGGAAACTGAGAAGATGGGAAGTCAAAGCTTCACAGCAATGGCAGAATGCTCAAGTTTGAGCTCTATTACTTAGCGACAAGCGTTGAAAGCTCAGATGAAGTAACACTGTTGTAATGATGGCAGAAAAAAAAAGCTGCGTAACATGCACAGGATGCTGACACACCGATGCCGATGCCGTAGTGGTGCTGATGGAGACTGGAGGTGAGGTGTGTGACATCAGCATCTTTACCACAAGGGGAGTCTCACTGATGCATCGGCACAGAAATAGGCATATAATGCTTAAGTCAATGTAAAGTTCTTCTTCACAGTAAAATTCAGTTTTGGGTGGCTGTATGAATTCTGATTATTACACCTGCGTGGATTCATGTAACTACCCTGTGTAGCCAAGAAACAGCCATGTTAATGTCCTAATATGTTTTAAACCACCCATGCATTCGAAACCTCCTTTCTTCTTAACCCTAGGAAACCTCTTATTCATCCCCTATTTCTGTATTTTCTTTTGCCTTTAGAAAAGGAAATATATAGTTGGTAATTATTTGAAACCGGGTTCTATCACTTGGTCTAACACAGAAATGAAATCCTTATTATTTGTATTTTTTAGAATACAAAGCTAAAGGATGCAGTCAGAAAAGACCCAATGACTGCAGATATCCTAGGCATCCAATAAGAAATGGAGGAGTCAGTAAGTCACCTTCATGTGACAAAAGCTCCATCAAGTTAAGGCATATACATTCCAGTTTGCCTTTTCTATTTTGGGTATTTTCAGATTCAGGTCTTCTAGAGATATCGTTGGAGAAAAGTCATCTCCCTTTAGGCTTTCCCTGTCTCTGCATATGGAAGTGTAATTATTTGGCTTATGATTAAATTTGTTTGTTAGCTGGGCACTGAGTGTATTCTATCACCAGTGAGGTAATCCTCACAGCACATTCCACGTTCCTGGAAAACTACTGGCCTTCTGGGCTGCCATGTGTTTATCCAGCATAGGTTGTGTGGCACAGCACAGTTATGAACACCACAAAATTGAGCTGGAAATCTCTATGAGATGAGAAGAAGCATGACTCACTTCTCCCTGCCCTAGGGATTACTTCTAGCTTTCATTTTGAGGAACATATTCTCTTTGCTGCCCGAGTTCTTCTTTTTCATATACTGGAAACCAGTACTTAGGGAAGGGATTAACTTTGTGCTTTGGAATGCCTGTCAAGGTAAGCAGATTGAGCAGACAGATCAATACTTGTTGAGTAAATAAAAGAGCAAGAGCTATTTCCAGCTCTCTCTCTCTCTCTCTCTCTCTCTCTCTCTCTCTCTCTCTCTCTCTCACACACACACACACACACCACACACACACACACACACACACACACACACACACACCCCATTGTGTGACGGATGGTGGTTTGCAATTTTGGTTGAGGCAGCTAGGAAGCAATTTGCAAACTAGTGCACTGTTGGTGTTTTTCACTGGTGTGCTTCTATGATGCAGCAGATGTGTTGTAGGATGAGAAAAATGGGCCACTCAGCACAGATAATAGCTGTGTGAAAACCTGTTTGCTTTATTCAAAGGGCTAATATCAGGCTATTTGAATGGATCAAGTTTGCCAGTGGGCTCAATTCTGTACTTCTTGCCATGTTTCTTTAAAATGTACTAGAATTACGAATGGCTTTGCTTTCGGTTTTAATTTTCAGTTGCATTTCCTTTGAGGTCGGTCATGTTCTCTATTTGTGATAAAAAAAAAATTTACGTCTGGAAGTTTGAGAAACTCATATTTCATAAGAAGAGGAGTGGGATGATGGGACAACGCACTCAACTCTGTGTGTCACCACTGCTATGCTGACATACTGCAAAATGCTTTCCTGTTTGGTCTTTCATGCAGGAGAGAACTAACATACAACACCAAAGACTGAGACACTAGTCTGAGATCAGTGGGCAAGCCAGATGAGCTCTTCTTTGGCTGAGTAACCCCATTTTTGAAGCTGATACTGTTGCAATGAAAGGTGTGTCTTGGATAGTGTAAATTTGACAGCCACCTCAATAACAGGCACTTCTTCTCAGTGCTCTCATGATACACTGAATACATTCTCCTAATGCCTTTAATGCTTCCATTTCTCTGTAGTGTCTCAGAGGCTACTGATGACACAGATTTTCTTTGTCCACAAAAGGCTCAATAGATGTGTGGACAACTGCAGTTTTCCCATGTCTATGGAGCTAAAATCCAATGTGTATGGCATTTTTACTTCTTCTCCCATTAAATTCAGTATTTTGGAAGCATGTTTATCTAGATGGAATATTTTCTTTGATAGAAAATGTGATGACCCTTTAAAATGAAATAGTGTATGATTTTCTGATTTCAATCAAAGTGCCATTAGAAACCACCAAAGACCCCCAAATGATGGGTGAATGGATAGTGTTCAAGCTGAGATATTTTGAGTTATTTGGGATTGCTATTAAACTTAACATTTCTTCTTTTTTTTATAAGACATATTCAGAAACAGGGATCATGGTCACATCACGGTAACACAGTGCTCTAGATGTAGTTATTGGGGATGGAGCTGATAATATTGATTTTATTCTCTGTGCTCTTACTTTCCAGATAGCTGTCCCTGGCTCAGAGAAATGGACAGCCCCAGAAACCTGTTAGAAGTACAGAACTCAAACCTCACCTTGTCTGTATTTGAAGTTGATTCCCAGGGCATTCTTGTGGGCTTTGTAAATTTAGAAAAGTTCCATGTTGATTTTTCACATAAAAGTCCTCATCTGATCTGGCCTAGAAAAGCCTGTTCTAGGAAGGAAATAGCAGAAACATTGCCAGCATCCTATCGTTACCTGGACAACTTTCTTCTGGAACAGAACACATCAAATGGTCAATAATCCTGATTCTCTACTTCCCCTGACAAGATTTAGAAGCAAAAGAATTATTCTCAGTGAATATATTCTAGAGTTTTACAAGCTTAACATTTTAGAGTTAATATCAAATAGCAAATATCGACTTACAAATGTGCATATAAATTATATATGATTTCAGGAAGGTTGCACATATAATTGGGCTATAGAGAAGGAAAATAATTTTATGATATGCCTTCTAATTTTGTACAACCCATTTAAAAGATTTTGCATAATAGATTCACTCGTCCCCCCACCTTTCCCTTATTCTTCCCTTTGCTTTTTTACACCTTTACTAAGGGCCTACCATGTGTTGGGTGCTGCATTGAATGTGAGGTATGAAGAGAATATGGACACGGTTCTAGCTTTTGGAAAGAAAGGTTTACAGCCTGGAAGGAAGTGCCTCAAAGCATTAGGGACTATGAGCAATGTCAGGCTCCAGAGCTGAGAAATTTTGCCTTGTTGAGACCATGTTCAGCAGGGCCTCAACGGAGCACATAAATCTTGGGTTGACCGTGGAGTGATGCATTGGGAAGAGTCAAATCCAAAGAGACAGTGATAACAGTTTTTAAAAGCCCATGTATTGCTAACGTCCATTTATGCAGGATAATCTGTGAGTGAGTAAGCATGTATGATGAGCCTTACAGATACAGAGTTATGAAAGAACAGCCCCTAAAATGTTAGCCCCTAAAATGTTATATCAGGGCGACTGAGATTCCAAGGATGGGGGATGAATAGGTCCAGAAGGAAAACATCTGTCATCAGAGCAGACAAGTCTACAAATTTCTTTCCATCTCTTAGTGAATGACAATAGTATACCTTATAAATAAAACATCTCAATAATGTGACTTACTTTCTGATTCTCATGCCAACCTCATATGTTTGGGAGTCTATATACACTGTTACTTTTATTTTACAGATAGAAAAATGCAGACTCATAGACTAATGTCTTATACATCACCTCATGGTTAGAGCATAAAAGCTGAGGCACACACTTCCCGATACTCGATGTATATGGTATGGTAAGACACTTTTGGGAGCTGACCTTAATAACACAAGGTAGATCGGCATATGGTATAAAATAATGTTTCTGTATCCTTGTTAGAATATAGAGATTTCTACATATATTGCAGCATAGTATTTTGTCATTATCCATGTTGCACAGACAAAACTGAGGATGTGAGATTAAGTGACTGGTATAAAAGATGCAGAGTAAATTTGCAGAAACCTGGAGACTGACTTTTATTTTTCTTGTGTTCCATTCCACCCCAGTTAACTCATTATTCATAGGTTACATTACTAACACGGTCCAATCCCCAGACACAGCATGGGGACTTGTCCAAGATTAATCAACTCAGGAAGTCATTTCCCCTTCATCTTTTTTTAAAAAGGGGATTTCCTCTCTTGTGAATCTCACTATTTCCTGCAGCTCTTTCGAATGCAAACTGAGTTTTATCCAGAAGAGTTCAAATTGCTTTTCCCCTTCTCATCTGTTTCATACGTATGGTGAAGACTAGACAACTTGTCCAATGCCATATCCTCCATGTCTCCCCACACAGTGTCCTGCAAATACAGATAGCCTCATGAGAGGGCTGTTGAGTGAGCAAATGGGTGGAAGAATGAAGGAATGAGTGGAAAATGTGGTACCATATTTAACATCATTTGGAGAGATCATAGTGAAAGAAAAAACAGAGCTAGAGTCAGAGAGACCTGGAGACCTGGAAACCTGGAGATGGAGGGAGCAGGCAAAAGCACCTTAGCCTGAGTACTGCCATTTTGACTTCAGACTCCATTTTAACCTGTGGAGTGAAATAGAATTCAGGTTCCCAAGCCCCAGGGGAACTGAGAACTTTCCAATGGCTGACCCACCCCCTCCCTAAGCCACAGAAATAGTCTTTATTCATCCTTAGTTCTGTAGAAACATTATGGCTATTCCCAACAACAGAAGGAACAAATGAATCTGATTGGCCAAACTGAAAATCTTGCATTGTAACTGTACCTTGGCAACAAATGTTTGTGATTTTTGTACTTATAAACCCCATTTCTGCCCTTGCTTGTGGCTGTCAGAAGAAACAAGGCTCCGGAGTCTTTGTCCTGCAGCCCTGATCAATCAGTTGCCGGCTTATTTGGTGTGTTATTAAAATCGTTGGAATGCATAAGCGTCGTCTCCTTTCTCATGGCACATCATGGGCTAGGTGTGACACTGGAGACAAAACAGTGCTGCTTAGCTTAATGGCAAAATCTTGAGATACAAATTTCCAGATAGTACTGAGAAGCCAAATTTAGAGCTCTTGTCTGAGTTTCTCTTTATAGATGACACCTGGCAGACTCCGAAGCAGCCGGAGAATAGACAGACTGCAAATGTGAAATCAGTTCCAGGATCAAGCCCCAGCACTCCATCGAGCATTCACTAGATCAGTTCACAGTGGGCATGTGCTTTCCAGCTCCAATTCTGCAAACCAGTGTCTGTTCACACACTCGTAATCCAGTTACATTTCCAATGGCCTCAACCCTTGACCAAATTGTCTGAGACGTAAGATGTATTTGATGGCATCTGGGATTTGTTTATATTCTGTTTTGTTTTTATTTGATGATTTTATGATTAGTTTGCAATCTTATGACACTATTTTACGTACTCAGTTTTGGTTGCCCCCCCCCCCACTCTCTTCCTCATCTCACCGCAATATCATCTCTACTTATCTTCTTCCCCTCCTAGCATTCTGCCTTCCACTTTCATAGCAAATGCATCACTCTCCTCACCCCTCTTCTTCCAGTCCCTTTCTTCTCCCCCCATGGGCCTGTTTCCCACTTCCTGGTCCATATACTCACTGCCACATAAATGCACGCATATAAGCATTAGAAGCTAGGACCCACGGATGAAAGGGAATGAGTAGCATTTGTCTTTCTGAGCCTGGGTTACCTAATTCAGAATGATTATTTCTATATTCTTCCATCTTCCTTCAAATTTCACATATTTTTACTGCCAAATAACATTTGTGTTATGTGCCACATTTTTCTCATCTATTCATCTGCTGATGGGTATCCAGGATGCTCCTATGTCCTTACTATTGTGAAAAGAGCAGCGATAAATACGGTGCGCAAATAGCTCTGTTCTAAGATATAGCATTCCTTTGGTGTGTATGTCTGGGAATAATCTAGATGGGTCATCTGGTAGTTCTATCTTTACATTTCGAGAACCCTCCAATTTCTGTATTTTATTGCACCATCAACTGCTGCACCATATTTAATTCTCTGCAAAGGTAAATGAGAATTCCCCTTTCCTCACATTTGTTTTCTTTATGGCAGCCATTCTGACTGGGTGAGATGGAATCTCAAAGTAGTTTTAATTTGCATTTCTAGACAGTTAAGGATGGTAAGCATATTTTAAAGTGTTTATTGCCTGGCACATAGAGATGTCTTAAATCTAGTATTTTGGGTCTTATTCTACTATATATAGGAACCATTAAAGTTTGAATTGCTCGAAGATCTTTTTGTTGTTGTTGTTGTTCAGATTTTATATGTAATTACACTAGTGGTTTTTTTGTTGTTGTTTTGTTTTGTTTTTTGAGACAGGGTTTCTCTGTGTAGCTTTGGAGCCTATCCTAGCACTCACTCTGGAGACCAGACTGGCTTCGAACTTACAGAGATCCACCTGCCTCTGCCTCCCGAGTGCTGGGATTAAAGGCGTGCGCCACCAACGCCCAGCTACACTAATGTGTTTTTTTTGTTTTTTGTTTTTTGTTTTTTTGGCAAAGACAGACTGTGAGTAAGGAGACTCAAGCATATATGACTGCTACTAAAAGTGTTATACCTTAGAATATTTATTCAACAAGTATGTATTGAGTCCCTGCAATGTGCTAAGTCATATGATGGAGGATGAACAGAACAGTTGTTGAATTATGATAATTCATGATAAGTTCTTTAGAAGTGGACACAGGTCAGGGAAGAATAAAAAGTCTAAAGTCTAGAACTGGATAAGCTGAAAGAAGGGAGTATATACAGAAAGGGGACACGTTGTATTGTGGGATGTCACAGTCTAAAGGACAAGTAGGGTGTAGTCTGAGAACGAGTGCAGTTTAGCAACATTGCTGAGGCCCCTTTGGTAGAGTAGGTGGAAGATTATCCTGGAGATGAGGTCACAGATGTGGTGAGAATTGGTACCATTTTGAGGAATTTCATTTTGGAAAGGAAAGGGTTACGGACCAAATGTCTGAGTCCCTCTGAAACTCACACACTGAAATCCTTGTCCCAGTGTAATGATAAATGAGGCAGGGTCTTTGGGGATCATAGTAGTAGGCTAGCATTAATCCATTCCTCATACAATGGATCCCAGAATCTCCCCCAACTTGTTTTGAGACACGGTCATGCTCTGTAGCTCAAGACAGTCTGGAACTCACTACGGAGTCCTGGCTGATTTCAGATTCATAGTGAAGGGACCAGCTCCCCTTTTGGCAGCCATAACGGCCTAACACGTGCTTGTCTGACCTTGTCCTAGACACTAGAAAGTCAGATGCCTGCCTGGTGACAAGGAACCAATGAGAAGTTAGCTGGTGGCGCTATGCTTTACGACCCTGGGTGTACTTTATGGACAAGCACACAGCAATGATGCATAGAGCATAGCAACCACCCTGGGAGGACCTATGGGCCATAACAACCAGTTGACCAATCAACACAGGGCAAGCCCTCCAAGCCTGGAGGGACACCAATCCTGAGCCTGTGCGTACCCCTAGACACTCCCCTTACGCTGCCCTACAAGTAGGAGCTGTCTTCTGCAAGCCATCCGCCATGGCGGGTGGGTGAAAGACCCAAGCTAACATGGGATTAGCTCGTTAAAAAACAATAAAGCCTCATGCAGTTTGCAGCAAGCTCTCGAATCTGCCTGGTGATTGGGGTGACCTCAGTCGTGGCCTGGGACCCCGGATACCTGAGTTTTCTGGGGGTCTAACAATAGCATTGCAATTCCTTGAAAAATATTCAAAGTAGCCCCTAGAAAAACCCTTTTATTTTCTGCCTTTTATATGCAAGTTGAGGATATTGCACACCCCAGACCATCCCACCCCTCCAAGGCTCATCACTAGGCCCACCTGCACTTCTACACTACTTGGGTGGGAATATACTATAAACCTCCTACTTGACCTTTATTTGTGCATCTTCTTGTGGACAGTAGTTGTTACAAGTGTATCATTTCTTTGTCAGCACGCTCACATGTGCTGCTGACAAACAACTTGATTTGCAGCTTGATCATCATACATCCTGCTACTTCATGGAACTTTTGATCTAATTCCTAGAATTCTCCTCTTGTGTCTATTGTAGCACCTCTCTCCAATTGTGTGTGATGGGGTGCAATCAGATCATTTAAACATAATGTTGCATCTTCCTTTCTAATGTGATTTTCCATAATTCAACTTCACCTCTCATATCATGGACCAGAAATTTCAGAATTTCAGAGTGCTACTGAAGGAAATACATAGTGGGAAGACAGACTGACTCCTGCAGGTTGCCCTCTGAATTCCGCACATGTGCGCGCACGCACACACACACACACACACACACACACACACACACACACACACACACAAAATAAATAAATATTTAAAAGACAAAAAAAATGTCCTCTGTGTTTTGTTTCAGAATGTTTATATTTACATTTTAACATGGCTCTCTAGGTCTCATGGTTCAAGTATTCAAATTCAATTAGTCAAGAGGCTAAGGCCTGAGGATTACAAGTTCAAGACCTGCCCAGACTACAGAATGAGCTCAAGGCAAGCCTGGGTATCACAGTAAACCCTATATCAAAATTAAAATGGGTAGCAGCTATAGCGAGGAGAGAGCACTGGCCTGGCATGTGTGAGACTCCCAGTTAGTTCCATTTCCTAGTGCTAGAATGAGTGAATGCATGGATGGAAGATGGATGGATGAATGAGCATTTTCAGAATTTTTCTCTCTCCTATGTCTTTAACTTCTCCAGTCTTCATCCTTTTCCTACTAAAATCAGAAATAAAGAAAGAAAAACCAACCAATTTCATTTCTGTCTTAATATTAGCTGATAAACTGTTGGGGCCTGTATCTTTTGGAAATCTATTCCACCCTACTACGAGGTCAGCAGAGCCCAGAATTTCTAATGTCTTTTAGATGTCAGCTAATAGCTGCTAGGAGTCCTGGCCTCAGCACGACTCCTATCTAAATAACAATAGACTTGGGCCAAGGCAAGTCTATACCCACCCTAAATGCTAGTGAGATGTGCTGGTGTGAGGTGCCTGAAGGCTTGAATACTTGCTGCAAAGGAGTGTCTTTAGGATTAAGGGTAATAATTACTATCAGCCCTTTATACATGATAATAGATGTCTTCTGCTATTGTCCCCACCTTTGGATGCTTACTTAAAATGATGCATCAATAAACTGAGCGCCTTCAGTATTAACTGATTGCCTTCCTGTTATGATCAGATGTCCCCATCTTTTCTTTACATCATTGGATATCTAGCCTTCCATCGTCCACCCTCCCCCACTCAGGATTGTTTGGCTAGTTCCGATCATAGCCCCGAAGACATCAGTCTTTGATAATTGTAGGGGAAGCTGTAGCCATGCCTTCTTAGGGGCTGGCTACAGGAGTACCTGTCCAGGCTTGTGAGGGCGTGGTCAGAGTGAGTAGGGGGACTGCATTTCTTTTTCGGTTTCTCTTTTTGCTTCTTGCTGTACAGACTACCACCGGCTGGCTGGTTCGCTCTGTAAGTAAGGCTTTTCCCTATTAAATGCCCTTATATTTCTACCTGACTCCGTATTGGTGATTCCCCACTATATCTGGTGTCAGAAGTGGGATATTGGAAACCTACACCCCATTTGGGACAGGCTGTGGGTTCCATCGGGCCTGAGGCCTAGGCCCGGAAAGCACCCTCTCTCCACAGGTGTTCCCGGCTAGCAGCCGACCCACTGCAGCTGAGCTGCTCAGAACCATCTACCCAGCTCAGAGAAACTGGCTGCTGCTGCGGGAAAGCCGCAAAGCCGTATACTCTCTAAGATAAGCGCAACCGCTTTTGTGACCTCTCTCCACCGCTGACCGACTGCTGCCAAACGCCTCGGAATAACTGAACGCCTGTGCTACCTGCTGGTCAAATATATTTACTGCATCTGGAGTAGAAATCAGGTAAAATTATGGCGGAATATTTATCATTTGCTAAAATTGGTAATGTTTTTGCTTATTACGTGAATTCACTGTTTGAGGAGGATGCTAATTTGCCAATTACTGGCCTATATGCTGTAATGGCAGTTAGCTTGCTGGTACAAATAGTATTACTAGCCAGAGGACTCAGGAA